TTCCCTAAAACGTTTTATGTTATTTGTCAACTCAGACGCTCGGTTAACAGTGCCACACTGACAGGCCGGGGCAGTCATTACTGCGATGCCGGTTAAACGCTCTGACAAACGCTTTTTTGGTGCCCCGTGATTAACAAGGGTGGATGCAGCCAGAGCGTTCCCCCCCGATGCCAATTTGCCTTTGCAAACAGCGAACGCACGGCGAGCGCTCAAAGAAAAGCGTTAGCATTTGACCGCAGAAGTGTGGAGGATGGAGATTTGCTGTTTATCTTAAAAGCATCGAAAAACGTGGTGATTTCTGGACGTTGCGCTCTTCCTCTCCCCTCTTTTCTGTGAACAGGGGAACTCACTCTCATTAATGAAACGAGGAAAATTACCCCAGCTGCGGTGCTGCGGACACAAGGCCCATTATCCCAATTTCCTTCCTAACGTCCTCGCACCTGGCCACTCTGTCAGGGTAAGTCAATTAAAAGCAGCTTCACAAAACCACACTTCACTTCAAAGCTCTTTTCCTGGGGACAAAAATCAGCCTCAGCAACCTGGCTCTTTCACTGTCGACGTGGCAAGGCCAACTCCCTGTCGACGTGGCAAGGGCAACGAGCTTCAACGCTGGGCGATGAACTCTGGGAGCGCTCCACAGAGCTGTGGGGTCTTCAACTCAAGAGAGCAGGAAAGAACCAAACTGGCTGCGAACAAACCAGACACAGGGAAATGTTCACATTTTACTCCTATGAGCTCCGGCAGCGAAGCTGTGCTTCTTTTAGAAGAAATAAAATGAAAAATCATTACTTATCTTAATCATCGCTAAGGGTTTACCACGCTCCGAGCTCAACGTTGCAATATTAGCTCTTCCCCGAGAGCTGGACCGGTGGATTTTGAGGAGCTCAAGAGCTGAACCTCAGGGGGTCCTATCTATTAATCACTGCAATGTACCCTGTTTCATTATCTACCATCAGAGTATAACGCAATTAGCGCACATTAGAGATATTTATTAGTCCTCCAGTACGTACGGAGCCTGTAATGTGCACTGTAACTTGGTTTTTGCCAGTGGCAAGGAGCTGAGCTGGGTCAGCTCTGCAGGGATTCCCGCCTTGCAGAGAGCACGAGCGTTCCCCGTGCGCTTTGCAGTCACCGTTCATTTATCACGCGAAACGGCACCGACGCGATGAAAAGCGATGCCCGGAAGTCTCCTGAAGGAATGGTCTGGAGGGCAGCGCCGCGGGTTTGGGACGTTCACGGAAGGCAGCACCAAACCTGACGTCTATCACGTCACCTTTCTGGTACACCCACGCGTGGCTGCACGCCTGGTTTCAGTGCGAAGCCACCTACAACGCAGCCCGCTTGAGTTTCACTCTGAATTCGGTACTCAAGCGCCCTTGCTGTGAGAACGAAGAGGAGCATTTTTGGACCCAGAGAACCAAAGCCCCCACGTCACCCAGTCACACACGGCCACCACGCACAGCACCCAACACACGCAGGGTGCCTCACCCACCACGGACGCACCCTGCACCCTCGTTGCATTTTCATGGTAACGAAGGAAAGCAGGGATTTTTCTCTCGCTATGGCTCGTGCTGGCTGTCGTCCGCTTCCCCAGCTACCAACAAGCTCCCTTACAGCCAGGCCAGCCAAAACCAGTACCGCCCAGTGGGAGTGACTGGGAGGGAGAAAGCTCCCAGCTCCATAGGTGCGAGCGCCGCGCAGGCATTGCAAACAGGGTGGAAAAGCATTAGGCAGTGACAAGCACTTAATGACTCCGAGGAAGGATATTAAATAGCTAACATTGATTGATGTAAAGACGCCTGCTGCTGCGAGCAGCTTTACAGCGGGCTCGCTCGATGGCACCGTTGTGCAGAACCGACTAAAACAGAGCAGATGCCCGTTGGGAGGAGCTATATAGGATTTTTCTACCGCAGCCTGTTTACCACAAAATTTAAAGTGGTAAATTACTCTGACACCGCTAACAGCCACAGCTGCTTTAATCAGCCAGGTGGCTATTCGGTTCCAGCAGATACCATCGTATTTTCTTCAGACCGACCATAAGGTCTGGAGATGCATTGACACGGCCTTGAATCCGAGTGTCTCCCTGCTTTTTATAATCATATTTTAAGAAATGGGCAGACAAAACGGAGCAACGCTTACGGGGATAAACTACGAGAATTACAGTCAGAGCGTCTGTTTCCACTCTTCAGCAGAAACAAAGATAACGTTAATAGTGACCATTGGGTTTAGAGGATATAAATCCACCCATGATTAAATTCTGTGAGCTAAGCCAGGAACTCAGCTGCTATCAGGACAGAGATTATGGATACATTTACAGTCCAAAATTGCTACAGCCGGATCCTGCTATTTTGCTTTCTAAAAGATATTGAGGAGGACCATGAGGAACACAACTTCAAAAAGAAGCCAACCACAAAAGATGTATCCACACTGACCATCCTCCATCTCTTTATCCTCTATTTCACGTGGTTTTGGAACCTTTGGAGAAAGGGAGGAGGGTTCTCCTTCTCCAGACTGACTTGGCAGGAGTAATCTGCCGAAATGCAGACCCCCCTGGTGATGCCTGTACAGGACTGAGACAACCTGGGGCCTTCTGAGGATCAGCTCATCTCATGCTGAAGACGACTACTGGGTTTGCCGGGTCAGTCGTATGCCCAAGGGGTGCTTCTTTCTTTCCATGAACAACAAAGATCTCAGGTGACTGGTACAGAGATAGAGGCACAGCACAGACAGACCAAAGTCAGGTAACCACATCCACGTACAACGTCATAAAATGAAATTATTCCAATAACAGCATGAGATGAAGACATTTGTAAGCTCTGGTTTCTCAGAGCGTTTGCTTACCTAGGATCACAAAGAAACTTGGTCTTTTCACCTTCTTCTCTCCAAATAAGCCACTCTCGGAAAGAGGGATGAACAAACATTCGTGTCATATCTCTACGTTTGATAAGAAACATAGAAAGGTTCTCCATCCTCTGCTGAAAGTCCTCCCACTCCAAAGTGCCCTCAATGTTACCTGCGTTAATGGCCTGAAAAATATGTTCGTCTGTTAAAGGGTGCAGCGATGCCACTGCCACATTCAAGAGAGGCATAACCCGATCAAAGGAAGACTGCGTTGGGAACTTCATATTGCACTGCAACAGGTAAACTTCTGACAGAGACACTGGCACTACTTTGTAGCTGGAGCTTTTTAGTACTAGGTATCCTTTCTCTATGAGATCAAAAGTGAGTTTTAGGTACAGGTAGGACCCTTGGCTCAAGGTCTTGAGGTGAGAACTGAGTTTGCCAAACGTGGTGTTGTCCATTTTGCCGTTAAGCGAGATGTTGTTCTGGATCTCCGAGCTGCTGTGTATCCGATGGAGGATGTATGCCTGCAGGTCCTGGTCTATGGCTTCATTCTCTTCCAGTCTATCCAAAAATATTCTGTGGAAGGGCAACAGCTTAATTATTTCCTGCAAGGAAAGAAAGAAAAAGGGTACTCACGCTGGCAGTGTTTATTATTCATTAAGTAAACTTAATTCATATTACAATAGCACCTCTGAGACTCCTTTAAGACCTCTTCCATCAGGGCAAGCACACAAGACGGCAGTTTGTGCCCTCAGGACCTCACAATCTCATCTATAATCAAGCAGATTGCTTGTGAAACATGACTGCAATAAAAATGAAGGACACTGTTCCTAATAGCACATCCATGGAAAGGGCCGGAAAATTCCCCCTCCCTTGTTATTCCTACCCCGTCCCGACCAGGTGTGGATGTGCCATCCCTTCTGCTGTCACCTCGGAGGGCATGAGCTGAGGACAACCAAGAAACAGATCTGAGGCCAGAAGAAATTCTGCCAAAGCCAAGTACGTCCCCAGGAGTGCACTCAGCTGCTACCAACAGAGAAATGCATGGAAACAGCAGGGCAGAGAACAGCAAATATTTTCCTGTGCGAAACAGAAACGTCTGTCTGCTGCAGGAGAGTTTGGCCAGGGATTCTCTCATCTGCTGAGCTCACTGATGATCCTCCTGCAACGTGAACCGAAACTCATCACAGGAATTCTTGCGTCATGGGCTCTCAGTCGCTGCGGAGCGGGGACAAATGACGCAATGGAGAAGGTCAAGGGAGCTGCAGGAGGAGCCACCAATTCTCCAATAAAATAAAGAAGGTGAGCACAGCGCACAACTAAATTGCTGCAAAAGCTCTAATTAAATGAGGAACTCAAATCATAGGGATGCAATTTACCTACGATTACAAAAGGATTTCTTGCAAACGATGTTTCATGTACTCCACTACCGAGCACAAAGCAGCCGACAGCCTCTGCTCTCCCCGTGTCCTGGGGAGCAGCTGCTGTTCCCAGCTACAACGGTGGCGTGCAGCAGCCTCGACAGAGCTGGAACCAGCACTCAGGATCACAGTACATCAACCTGTGGACCTCAGTAAATATCAGCAAATATTGCTGAAACGGCTTAATGGAGCTCAGTAAAAATGAACTGTGCTGCCCTGCGCCAATACAAAAATGGCTAATAATGAAAAAGAGAGAAATGCAGAGCTGTCTTTCTGTCCAGGGCTGAGGTGCAGCTGAGGAGTGGCTCTGAGCTGGCTCCCAAACACGTGTCTCGTCCCTCTGATGTCTGTCTCCTCTGGGCTCCTGGCTCTGATGCTCAGTGTGAATGTTCCCACAGGTGATGCTGCAATCAACCAGCTCTGCTGTGAAACGGCTGCCCTAACTGGGCTGTTGTGTTTGCTCCCAGTTTGCTCCACTCAGCTGAGTCAACAAACTACGGTCAGCTCAATCCTTATGCCAAGAGAGTGGTGGTGAGGAGCTAAGGACAGGCTGAAGGTAAAAACCTGCCAAGCTACAAAGTAAAATAAAGATCAGAGAATCACAGACTGGGTCGGGGTGGAAGGGACCTTAAAGATCATTCAATTCAAACCCCCCTGCCATGGGGTCACAGCTCCCCCAGCCCAGGCTGCTCACAGCCCCGTCCAACCTGGCCTTGGGCACTGCCAGGGAGGGGGCACCCACAGCTTCTCTGGGCACCCTGGACCAGGGCCTCACCACCCTCAGCTTAAATAATTTCTTCCTAAGGTTTAATAGTTAAGTCTAAAAATACTTAAGAATAACCCAACCAATGTCCAGCTCAGAGCTTCAGCACCTGCTGGAGATATTCTTCATTTAGCTGAATAAAGTCTTGGCCCACAGTGACTCCTCCATGCTGAAACAACCACAGCCTCATGCTCTGGGTCATGCAGAAGGCAAATGAAGATTTGGTGTGAATACGTGATGCTGGATTAGACTCTTTCAACACTGCAGAGTGAGTGTGGGGACATGAATGTAAAGCCATGTACAAAATACCCAAAAGGATAACCTGAAAGAAAGGGTCTTAAGCAAATCAAGGTATTCACTCAGGCTTTCTTTATCAGAGCCCATGATGCTGATGCTGATGGCACAGTTTATCACAGCTCTTGGTCCCAGCGTACCTGTAGACTTGTCCTGACCGTCACTACCAGCTTCAGCCAGGAAGGGAATTTTCCAATCATTTTGCTGAGGAACGATACTATGGTGTCTCCATAATCCGGTTTGTGAAATTCAGCCTCATTTAAGCCATCAATTAATATGATGAAATCTTCATCAGGGATCTTCCTCTCTGAGAAAAAAAGAAAAATCATTTATTTGTGAGGCTACACATGCAACCACAATGTTCTGCAAAGTCACTACAGTGTTTTAAAGCATCATCAGGTATGGCTGAAGAAGAAAAGGACGCACTAGCAGTCCTTAGAGACACTAATGGCACATACCCACAGAGATGGGCCCACACATAGGCTATTTCAATAGTTATAAAACACCTATTTCAGTTACAAGACACACAACTGTGACAGCCCAGATAACACAGCCAGGCCTCTTCAAAAACGGCCTCTTCCCCAAAGTCCGATGTTATTTGATGTGAATCAGCATCTTTCTGATGGGTTGTAATAAACACATTATCAGCGGTTCTCTGCAGTTTTGGTATTGAACTCTCCCCCTGCTGTCAGCCCATCTTAAGTTTTGCAACTGCTAAATGAAGTTTCACCAAGAAATTCTCCTCCCCAACACCTCCAGATGCTCCCAGTTTCGACATCAGCATTTTGGAGGTCACATCCGCTGTTCAAAACGACTCTGGACTTCCAGTATCACAAAGGATCCGAAGTCTGTGGCCAAATCTCTTTTTAAACAAGTTAGGAGGAAGAAAAAAGTTCCTACAAAAAGCAAATTATGGACTTTTTAAACAGGATTTTTCTTGCTGCCGGTGCTTACGGTAACCAGACTGATGTAGACAATGAAGTCAGTGTTTTAACATCAGACACTGAGAGCTGACTGCAGCTTTAGAACTAACGACACAGATTCCTTTGGACTTGCATCTTACGCTCAACTGTTATCTCCTCAAAGGTAATCTTGCCTAATAAACTGAAAACCAGGTGGGAAACAGGAAACCTGCGTCACTGTTGGCATTTGCTGCTAACGTGTACTACAGAGCCTATATAAAGTTTGCTCTCTGTTGTAAAGCATTACGGATAAATCCTGCTATCAAAAAGCTGACTATTCCCAGCAGCAGGTTAGTTTTCCCCTCTCACTTTAAATGGCATCGGGAAACTTTCCATAAAACCCAGCACAAAATGTTTGTCGCTGACAGGAGCCGTCTCTGCGGCGTTCCAGGGAGAACAGAAATGCGTCAACGCCTTGTGTTCGGGACTGCTGAGCATCAAAATCCCATCTTGTCCTTGCCTTACGTTACCAAACTCCATTTATTTCCTAGCACGCTGTTAAAATCCATATGAAAAGCACATATTTTGCATTAAAATCACCGTAGATCCTTTTTCAGTGAACTTCTCGGTGAGATTACTGGGTGCACAGGAAAATGCACTTTATGACTCTCTGAAATCTTGGAGTGAATGTAGTGCCTGAGTTTTATACCCACATCTCCTGTTTCTCATAAAGCCTGAGGGAGAGAGGAGAAAGCAGAGAGTAGGGGAAGAATCAGAACTCTGTTCTCCTATATATTATTTAGATTCCTTGAGAATAAAAAGGAAATAGATTTGAGAAACATGAATCTAACTTTCTCAGCGACATTCACCATTAACAGCTACGCAATAAGTTTGCCTTGGTATCATTAAAGCTTCACCAGCACCTTGTAAAAGATCTGCTGATACATTTACAGAGTCTTAAACGTTATATATTTTTTAAACCGATTTCCAGACACCGTTCATTTGGTTACAAAACACTTGGTGCAAATGAGCTTGCCAGCGCTCTCGATGAGCAAGATTGAGGGATGGGAGTCCTGATCATCGGCTCCATTGGAGCTGCGTGGAGCGGAGAGCTCAAGAGATGAAGAAAAAAAGCTTTTATATAAAATTTTTCCACCTCCCAGAACTCAGGACCAGATGGGGTCAACCTGCTTGGCAAGAAAACCAAGCATCCTCCAAAATGCTCTGAACCCAACAGCTGGAACGCTTCCCAAGGAGTTGCTGTAATAACCACAGATTATTTTCCTTTAGGACCAAGCGGTTCCTAAACCTATCTTCATTTTGCCAAGAGTGTTGGTAGAAGAGCGGCCACGCTACTCCTCCAGCGGCATTTCTCCATGCCAGGAAAACCAACCGCTGCCGAGCTGCGCTGGCGCCACGTGCGCCTTGTGCCTGGCGGGACCACGCGCGTTGGACCCAGCTGCTGCTGCTGGATGCTGTGTTTGGAAGATCTGATTTGATCAACAAGGCTTTGAATTTGGTGGAAGCTGCGTCTAATTCCTGTTGGCTCCTCCACTGCGATATGTAGGGTGGGAACAGAAAATGATCTGAACTATTTTTGCAGCCAGCATGCAGCACGGCGTTTTAATAAACATCAATCTGCAGGACAACAGAGTCCTGAACTCCGCAAGGCTCTGAGAGTTTTCATGGCAACGAGCAAGGATCTTAAATTTAGTGATCGTCACAATGAATTAGTTACATCTCGCAGAGGGAAAGAAGGAGACAAAACCAATGCTGCATCAGAAAAAGCTCTGAAGTCCATAACCAGGATAAGGTTATTTACCAGTTCCCCCAGACGCTTTACACAGTGTGTCTATAGACTTCTATGGTATTGGCTCTTTTGATGGAAGCTTCAAATTCTCACAAGTCTATTAAATAATGACAGAAAAAAGGAAAACAGGAAAACATTCACCCCCTAGACAAATAAAGCAGAACACATTGCCATAAGCAGAGCTGTGCGTGAAAATCGTTGCTTGTTTGCACCTTCAGAACTGCAAGGCTGGGTTTGGGATGTGGAAGCAAGCAAGAACAGAGAAAGCCAAACACAGGCTGGCATTAGCGTTTCATCTACGGCCCTGTAACGAACAGCAGGAGAGGAGTGGTTAACCTCTCGCTTCCAAACAAGCACAAGGGCATATTCCCAGCTTTTCCATATCCCACCTCTTCCCTACAGCTCTTGAGATGCAATGCAGAAGCATTAATCTATTGCTTCACAGAATCACAGCATGGTCAGGGTTGATCTCTGGAGATCACCCAGTGCAACCCCTGCCAGAGCAGGATCACCAGAGCAGTCACACAGGAACACGGCCAGGGCTTTGGGCGTCTGCAGACAAGGAGACTCCACAACCTCTCTGGGCAGCCTGGGCCATGCTCTGGACCCTCACAATAAAGAAGTTTCTTTCTATGTTCAGGTTGAACCTCCTGTGTTCCAGTTTGTGACCACTGCCCCTTCCTGTCACTGGGCACAACCGAGCACAGGCTGGTCCCACCCTCCTGACCCAGCCCTTCAGATATTGATGGGCATCAATGATATCCCCCTCATCCTCCTCCTCTCCAGGCTGAACAGCCCCAGCTCTCTCAGCCTTTCCTCCTATGGGAGATGCTCCAGTCCCCTCACCAACTCAGTGGCTCTATGCGAGACTCCCTCCAGATCTTCTTGAACTGGGGAGCCCAGAATTGGACACAGTATTGCAGATGTGGCCTCACCAGGGCAAAGCAGAGGGGGAGAAGAACCTCCTTTAAAAGCCCAGATGCAACTAAGCATCATTTAAAAAATACTAATAAAAAGAGGTGTGTGGGAGCTCAGGGGAAGCACGGAGAGCGTTGTTACCATACCTTTGTGCAGATTTTCCAAGGGCTCCAGGACTCCCCTGCGGAAGGAGGCCATGGGGTCCTGCACGCAGGAGCGCAGGCTGAGCATGCTCTGCAGGTGGGGCTCTCGCAGGAGCTGCTCCCTGTAAGCCACGAACTGCGGCGAGCGGCAGAGCAGGGCGGCCACGTTGTGCACGAACTCGGGCACCAGGCAGGTGTAGGCGTTGTCGGCCTGGCAGTAGTGATAGGCCACAACCTGGCAAAGAGAGAGAACAACATAACCCATCTTCGTCAGGCACGAGGCGGGAGGGCTGTTAAAAGCAGCGGGTTTTTTTTTGTGGGGTGAGGCTGATGTATTCTGGCAGGCGAAGTCTTTAGAGTACCAAGTGTTAACTACCCGTGACAAGAATCCAGACGAATCAGTTGGTAAAAACAGGCACTGATCCTGAAAAATGACTGGACCTGCCACTTGAGGAATAAATGAAATTAAGCTGTAGCTGCTCACGGAGATGGACACTGACAGCAACCGACATCTCTGAAGCACCACGCGGAGCAGGGAGTGATAGGATTGTGCTCCGAGCTCTGTTTAAGGACTTGGCATCGGTAATAACTTGTGATTGTTTTCTTGAACTTCTTTTTTATTTGCTGTTGTCAAATGTCAAGCTCTGCAGAAGCAGGCGGAGAGCAGTGGCTGAGCACCTTACAGCGAGGAGGCATCTGCAAACCACAGAGTCCCATGAATGGGGGGGTGGCAGGATGCTGTGCAGTGCTCATCCACTGTGATCCCGCTCTTCATTCAGAAAATGAATTCAATTAATAAAAAAAGCTAAGAAGAAACCTTCCTCTTTTCCCAGGTCACCTCATTTTCCCAGCCAGACCCCACTAAACTCTGCTCACTTATTGCAATAAGCAGCAAACCTTCTGAGATCAAGAATGCAGAAGACCTTCTCAGACCAATGTGCACGATTTCCTATTTTCTTTTGCGATATCAAAAAAGGCCCCCCCCAAATCTCTCCCTGTTTGCATGACACTTGGCATCTCCTCCAGTCCTGCTCTGTGCTGGCACCAGTCTCCTCGCAGCATCACTGGGCCATGTGGGGCGAGCCTCTGCCAGGTCAAAAAGCTTCTCTCCAGCTCCCACCCACTGGGTTTTCTTTTCAAATGGCACCAATATTATCCAAAAATATCCCGGCGAGGCAGGTGGGATCAGTTTTGTACCAAAACCACCGTTGCCCTGGAGCACTGTAGCACAGTATATAAATATTGTAAAATAAAGTACATTTCTCAACTTGGAGCGTAATATAATTGAGGAAAGCAGGCACACACGGAGGATTTCTGGATTTCCACCTGCAGTGCCCAGCCCTGGGCTCGCAGCAGGCTCTGGGGTGGTGTATCCAGCTCCCAGTGCAATGGATGGTAGCAAGAAATGAAAACATCTGGCTGTGGGGTCTCCTCACACATTGCTGGCTCAGCACTGGCTTTTCAGTTTAAATAGAAATATATGGAATTACCAATGGGGCATAATGCAATAATTTCCTTTCACAAGCAAAACGAGGTGCAACGCATACAGTGATGATAAAGCCAGGCTGTTATTTCAAGCAACAAGCCCTAATACAAGTGCTTAAGCTTTAATGGATACCTCCAAATTCCTAACAGAATTTTTCCTACCAGCCAGTTAAAATATAATGTATTCCCTTAGAGAACAGCACTGGGTAAAGTAATAATAAAAGTAATGATTTCTTTTCAACAATCCTATTTATTTGGGGATTATGACTTGTGGATTTCACAGTACAAAGTTTGTGAGCGGCCGTCCCTTGCTATCAGGTTCCCGGTAACAGAAACCCAGTTGCTGTAGGCAGAGCTCTCATTTCCTACACTATGGGTGTGCAGACAAAAAAGGAAGTCTCCTTTTTCACAAAAGGCCATCAACATCTCACAGGAATCTAAAGCACCACCCAGTACCACGGAGGGAATGGTCCCTGCTGGACATTGGGACGTATGCACAGTTACAACTCAATTAATTTGAGTCCCTTCATGTACATCCTTGAGCCTTGTGCTGGGTTTACTGGTATATTGAGTAAGCCTTAAACAGTAAGACAAATGCAATGCTTTTGGGGGATCTGAAGCTAAACCAGTAAGCAAGGAAGATTTCTGGAAAGGCAACCAAAGGAAAGGCATGACGATGTGCTCAGAAATGCAACTGCAGCGAAGCTTCATCTTGATGTTATTTATTCTCCGTGACATTTTCTCTGTCTCCAAATCAACGAGCGACTGCCAAAAGCCAGCGCCGCACGCTGAGCCTGCTGCTGGAAACCAGGCTCCTCGCTCACACAGCCAGAGCGGGGTGGGAAACAGCTTTCTCATCCTGTAAAACTTCTCAAGGTTTCAAAGCATCTCCCTGTTCCACGCTCGGGAACCAGACCAGGGTTAATGTGAAAGGTGAACCACAGAGCCCCCAGCTCAACCAAGGGGTTTTTGTGGAAGGGGCTCATCCCCAGCAGATTCAAACCTTGTTCTTTCTCTCGTAAATACCTTTAATCCCCACTAATGCTCTGGGGAAGGTCTTTTTCCCATTATTTCACTTTATGTAATTCATTAATTGCTGCAGGATCCAGCAAGAGGGAGGGGTTACCATCTCCACTGCTCAGGATTCTCTTTGAAGATACAGAGACAATGGCCAGACCTTGCTCTGCATCCAAAACGGCCACTCCATAGGTAGTTGTAATTCTGGGGTGTTATTAATCTCCTCCTTTTGCTCGACTGGACAAGCCAAGAAGTACATCCAAGAAAAGAAAAAGAATAGTGGCCTGGAAATGAACTTTGCATTGAAAAAGGTGTGCTCTCAAGAAAAGCTTCAATTTCCATACATCAAACTACTTGGCTTTATAAACTTGAAAACCATCCAACCAGCTCCCATCACAAACAAAACCCTTGAATTAAACATTTAATTTTGACTAGAAACCGTGTTACAATACATGAAACCGC